TTTTCTGCAAACTTCTCTAAAAATCGCCTTTAGTACCTGCAGCTACCTAGGAACGAGCGCACCTCAGATACGTTACAGGGCTCTGGCCAATTTCTAATAACATCTACTTTCTCGGGATCAGTGGCGATTCCATCTTCCGTGATTACATGGCCCAAGTAAAGTAAAGTACTCTGCGCGAAATGAGCACACATTTCTTCGGTTTCAATTTGAGTCCGGCATCTACAATGCGGTCAAAAACTTTTGCCAGGTTTTCAATAATTTCTTCAAATGTTCGCCCTACAACAATCACATCATCCAGATAAATCAGGCAAATTTCCCATTGAAGACCAGCCATAACGGACTCCATTAACCTTTGGAAGGTAGCCCGCGCAGCTGAGTCCGAATGGCATCTTACAGAACTGGAAAATGCCTTTGCGCGCAACAAATGCTGTCTTGGGTCGGTCTTCCTTTTTCACAGATACTTGTCAGTATCCCGAGCATAAGTCCAATGTTGAAAACCACGCATTTCCAGAAAGGGTGTCCAGCGAATCATCAATTCGCGGCAATGGGTATGCGTCTTTTGCGGTCAGTCCATTGAATTTACACAGAAGCGAGTACTGCATCCTTCTTTCGGACTAAGACAACACCAGCTGCCCATGGGCTAGAAGAGCGCTCTATGACACCTTCTTGCAGCATATCATTAATATGCGTGTCTATTTCCTCGGCAGCATGGAAAGGGACACGTCGCAAAGGTCCCTTTACGGGATGAGCATTGCCAACATCTATCCTATGCTCAACCACGTCTGTGGTGCCCAAGTCAGAGCCACTAAGTGAAAACGCATGGGACTAATACGCAAAAAGTCTCTCACTTTAGATATCTGGTCCTCTGTCAGATCGGTACTACTGCGCTTCAATAGATCTTCAAGTTTTTCATGCAACACAGAGTTATTCTTCAACTATTCAACACGCATTGTAGTTTCTAAAAAGTGCTGCGATCCTGTCTAAATTCTGCAATTTCATTGTTTAAATTATACTTGTATGACCGAATGCTAAATTTTTTAATGGTCAGCGGCATGAAATATTGATATAATTTAATTGTTTTTATTAGATTTAGACAGGATCGCAGCACTTTTCAGATACCTTAATAGTTCTATAGTTGAAATGTAAAAGCTTACTTTGATCAACAGAGTGTATGCCCTTGCACTAAATCGATTTATTAAGACCCCCACATTACCCTCCGACGTGCTTGCAAACAAATATACGACAGTGTCAATTAGATACGTAATGTACCGAAAATATATTAATAAAATAATGAAGAAGACATTAAATTCAAGTTATTGGCCCATAGGATATCTGTAAATAATATTTTATTTAATTAGAGAATACATATTTTGTAGAGAAAATATTACTTGATCTGTCTCTCACTGCATACAAACTACGTCACGTTGAAATAAATGACGTCATATTGACAAGTGTATTGCGATCAGTGACTTGTTTATTACTTGTTATGTGGGATTTAACTAATGACAAAACAACACGCTGTAGTAAGTTTTTATGTTGTTTGATGATTTCTTACTGGTTAAATTAGCAGATAAACTCATTTTGTGGTATTTTAAAGAAATGTTGTATGACGTATATTGTGAATGATGTCACAGTCAAGTTTTCCCGTACAAATTAGGCTCCGCCTCCTTTTTGTAACCTTAACTGTGCTGCGCAGGTCTGCAACGACAGCATCCAATTTGCATGAGAACCCCCTTATCTATGTTGCAAAGGTTCCCTTACCGTTTATCTTGAGACACAGACGTTCATTTCAATGAATAGGCCAGCGTCCATTCCGACTGGACTTGCTCCTATGGATGCTTTCTCTCCGGTTTTGACACTTCTACTGGAGGACTTGGCTTCTTTTGCATTTGCACCTTGACTTTCTGGGCGGTCTCTTGTAGAGGACGTAAAGGGAGGTTTAGCTTTCCTTTGCGCATGAAAAGCTCTGCAATCCTTGCGTAAATGTCCCTGCTTACGGCAAAAGTAGCATATTTTCTGTGCCCCCAATGTTTGGTTTGCTTTCCATGGTCGGGATTGTTGTGAACTTTCATTGCGCTCTGCTTTCATTTCTCTGAGTTCTCTCTGCATAGATTTAAACTTCGCGCTTAATTCCTCCAACATCGAGACAGTCTTTCTTTCAACGGATTCAACGGTAGTTGGGCGCTCATAGTTCTTTTTCTCAGCTCTGTTGTAAGCTTCTAATTCGACAGCCTATTGTATAGCGTCATTAAGATGTTTAGGTCGCGCCTGTTTAATGCGGATGCGCATTTCTGAGTCGACCAATGCGTTTCCCGAATCTCAGCTGATGCAGTGGGGTGGGCTAAGTTGGCAAGTCTGCGAATAGCCTGTCGTAACTCCGGAAGAGACTCTCCAGCTTCTTGGCGTTGCTCACGCATCTGCGCCCTGTATAGCTCAGTTTGACTAGGGGGTGCAAATCTATCTTCAAGGGCTTTAACAAGTGTTTGATAATCGGGCTTTGTCCCCTTTGGCATGTTACCTAACACTCCCTGTGCACTTGCCCGAAGAGAACTGCTAAATACAATCCTTTCTGATGATATTTCCATCCACCTATTTCCGCACATGCCTCGAAATGCGCATGATAATCCAACCAGGGGCTTTATCATTTGTCTTTGCGCTGGACTTTCATTGCGCTTTGCTGGAAACTCTGCTAGCGCGTCGTCTCCGCTATGAGGACTTGCAAATCTAACTCTGGATCTCCTTCTTGTTATCCCAGGGAGAAGAGGATCGTCTAGGTCGTCTCTGTAAAGTTCTTCAGGACGAAGTCTACGCCAATGTTTGTCGTTTTGCACCGCTTCTCTATCGAATCTTGTAGGAGACTCTGAATGAGTGTAATCGCGAGGTCCCTCTCCGGCTTCTCTAAAAATGTCCCTGAGATATTGTCCTGTAGATTTTTCTTCAAGGATAGGTGCGTGCTGGGTTAGCGCACCATCATGTTCAAGCGTTAATGACTTTTCTTCTGTCTGCCGCAATTCTCCGGAGATGCAAGATTCGCCAACACCCGAGTCTCTTACTTTGTCTTTTATACGCGATGTCACTGGAGTCGACGACTTGAATTCCTGATACTTTCATCCTTCAGCTCTGCAAGCTTCTCTTCTATAAGGGATCATTCTTTGTCTACGTCTTCCATCGCGCAGCTATCTCACCAGCGCACTTCCACAAGAGACAAGCAGGGATGACCACACACTTGCCCTTGCGCAGTGACAAGCAGGGATGACCACACACTTAACACTAATACAGTTCTAGTCTAGAGATACTCCACACACCAATGCTCTACCACAAGATGCAGGCAGGGATTTCCACACACCTGATCTTGCGCAGCAACAAGCAGGGATGTCCGGACACTTGCTACTAATAAATGCCAAATACAGAGCAGGGATTACCACACACTATGTCAAGCAATAAGCAGGGATGACCACACACTTATCACAGTACAATAAAAGCAGGGAAATCCGCACACTTACATGTACCAACAAGATTTGTCGAGTTTTACCTCTAGAACCTTTTTTTGTAAAAACGCCAGTAAAAACCCTATATATCTTAACACCATCTATAATACATAGTAATTATATATTTACAAACTAATTTAAACACTAACCAAGCTTCCAATCAACAAATTTTTAGTAACCCAACTAAAGTAACATACAATGATTATAATTGGTAACTTTATTTGGAATTCAACGCTAATTAAGGAATTTATTTTTAACACACATAATAAGTAATTAAAAAAATAACTAGGGCGTTAACTTTCGCTATAATGAACATATACGAACAGCTTTCCGTTTCAATAGTCGATTTATAAGTCTGTTTCCTTATTTTTTTTTCATATCATTTTTTTTATCGAATCAAAACGGAATTTGAAATTGCAGTTTCAGTTTCTTTGCTTAGATTTCTTTTTGTTGTATTCTATATGATTAAAACAGCTACTTTCTTTCAAAAGGTGTTATAAAATTTGAGATGGTAATCATGACCAAGGGCTACATGTACGCAGCAAAATCTGTTCCAGCGTATTTGTTTTCTTTTAGACTAGAGATTTGACGAATATATAAAAAAGGAAGCTTATTTTAGAAAACGAGGAGTAAAAATAACATTATATTGATGGAAATTGACAATTTAACATCATTAATCAGCTTTTATAGTTCTAGCAGATATCATGTATTTCCTTACTACATGTTAATATACATTGTATGATTCTTTCTAGTAATATATGTAGATTGTGCTTTTTTTCTGCTAAAGTTATTCCCATAGACTGCAAGGATCTCCAAGCAAATGGCTACTTTAATACGGGTGTGTATAAAATTTATCCCTTTGGGACCACGACCATTCCTGTCCGTGCTTACTGTGATATGACAACAATGGACGGGGGTTGACGGTATGTGATATATTTCAAAATAATAGTAAATTATCTAATTTGCACTCTGCGTTTACAGCTATTCAAAAGAATATAGGGTGAAAAAATTTATGAATGTCTTGAATTAACATCAGTACATTCTGATCATAAAAATTGTTCGAAACATTAATTTTGTATTGATCCTCATGATAATATTTAAAGGCAATTCAAAAACGTGTCAATTGATCCCTGAGTTTTGACAGGGATTAGGCGGCATATAAGAATGGTTTTGGTGTCCCTGAACAGAATGTCTGGATTGGTAAGTGTAAATGTCTATTACGTAGGGACTTTCAGTCGTTTCCAAATTTGACAAAATTGCTTTATTTAGACCAAACGAAAAAACAAAAAAAGTATCAATCATGTGATTTTAATACTGGGTTATATGTTAACACCAATGTCTACAGGTTAGGAAGATAAGTTTCTTCATTAAGATAAATTCATATTTAAAATAGAATTAATTGTGTTACGTAGACTTTTCCTTTGATTTCAAATACATCTTAATGCAGAAAATGACGTAATCCATCAGCTAACAAAATAAAAGACGTCACTCCTTTATGTATCCATCACTTTAATGAATGGTACAACACTGTATGAAATGTACGATCGATTCTTGGTCACCAATGAAACAGATAATTATCAACTCTTTCTTGAAGGACCTGCCACAGGAACCTTAGGTAAGTATATTGACCCTAGATTCTTAAATCCGGGTTCCAATTAAGTGCAACTTTACATACTTTTTAAATGAAGAAGATGGAGATAAGGAACGGTATTCAATATCAAAGTCCATAAAACAATACAAAAAGGAGCATAGCAAACAGGAACCACTGAAACATCAGAGGTGGGATCAAGTGACTTGGAGGATTGAGGATCCCTTGCTGACCGGTCACAGCCGCCGTGTTTATTAAGTTGTCACGCCAAATAATTGAAATAACGAATAGTTATGTTGAATTATTTATAACTATCTGAGATTGTAAGTTCATTTGATCCGCATTGCTATTTACCTTGATTTTTAATGAATTTTTATATTTCAAATTCTAACAAAAATTTTAAAGGAACTTATATGTAAAGTCGACATACCTTAACGAGAGCTTGATGTCAAAGAAACTAATTAGATCTGGAATATTTCAAGTGATCGTTACCAAAAAAAAAAAATCATTTTTTTTTTGTTTTTTAATATTATTTTAAAGTGTAAAATTCTCGTGTTAAATAACATTTGAAAAGATGTTATATGCATTGCACGCTATATTTTTGTAAATGATTGCTTGGTTGTACATTGTTTAACGTCCCTCTAGGAAATTTTTCACTTATATGGAGATCCCACCATGCCGATGGAGAGCTTCAAAATTTAGCCTTATATTTTGCACTTGAGACTTTTGAGCAGTGATCTTTTTCGTGGCATCACCTAGTGCGATACTGAACTTCGGTTTATTAAGTCTCATTCGAAGGACTGTCTCCACATCCAACAGTTGAATTTGAACCCTTGACGTAAGGATCAACTCCTTACTTTGCGACTCTGGAGCAGACACTCTCACCATTGCACGACTCGTGCGACTATATGTTTTTTGTGTTTTTATCTTTCTTTTCCAGAAACTGCGTCAAACTTAAACGTACTTCAGTATAATTGAGAGAATTATTACAGTGTAATCTGATATGAATAAATTATTCCTATTATAAATCTTCTTTAATTTACAGGTGATCGTATGCTACACACTGGTTATACTTATGGCTTTGACCTGTCTGGGATGTACTTCAGTACCCTAGACAGGGATTACGACAGATGGAGTAGAAGTAACTGTGCTGTTGGGTTTGGAGGGGGAGGAGGCTGGTGGTATAACGCCTGCCATCATGCCTTCGTTAACGGTCCATGGCCCCCTACAGAGTGGTACAAACCTTGGTTTCCTACATTACCAATGTACGGGACCAATGTGACGGGAACACTGATGATGATTAAACGTCATAAGGTAAACATAATGAAATCTGCATAATCAGTGCATTCTGGTATTTCATTTATAATTTAAACTATTATAAAAGAAATCCTTATTAAACGCATTCTTTTATTATTATTATTTTTTGAAACACTTTGAAATAATTTAAACACATTTTCTTTCATTTTCAAACAGATCAATATGTGAAATTGTGAGAAGTCAACTGAAGACCACCAATCAGTCGTCGAAGTATTTCTTTTGAAAAGAAATTTGTAAATTTGTCTTCATCTTAGGATACAATTCATTTAAAGAATACTTTTAAAAGAAGAGGAGAAAACTTGCATTTTTGTTGTTGTTGTTGTTTTAAAGGTGGATTGCGGCTGAGCAATTTGCTGGCGCAATTAAGTTTTAATACTTTTCTTTACGGAATATATCCAAACACTGTCACATGAAGGTATCTAGAGGAAAATTAGGAGGAAGATTGATTAATTTTTAAACGTAGTAAAATGAAAATTTTTTAATCTGATAGATGTATAAACACGTCAATTTCGATTTCAAATTTCATTCTCATTTTTACTTATGTCCATCTTCTCTACGGTGTTGAAACCAACAGCGTATTTTGACAAAACATCTATCTCCTCGTAAATTCAAAAAGCCAAGATTCTTAAGAGATACTTCCTTCGTTCTCTATACATACTAGTTATTTGAACTATTGAGCAAATGTATTTCATTAATCTACAAAATATTGTTCTTTTTAAAATTTCAAGGAAAAAAAAATGCTTAATAAATGTGCGTACCCTCAAAGGTATTTGATAACTCTTTACAAAAATTGAATTATACCATTGATATATTAAAACATTTTACGAGTGGCATATAACGCAATGATGCTACATGTATGTTTGTGTCCTTTCTGGTCTACATTTTTTTTTCATGGGCATGTCATAAACTTAAAGAAAAAATATCAAAATTTCTGAAGATCAAAATGTCTTATTGCTAGAAATAATCATTTCCAAAAATTGAGATTATAATTATCCTGTCTCCCGGTCATTTTCAAAAGTATTTTGTTAAACACATTCTGATCGCACAAACAAGTATTCTGAGTTTCTGATTGACAATATCTATGTGGTGTTTGGAGACCAAGTCATCCAACAACCTATTAATGTCCCCATGGGTATCAATTGCGCTCCGTTATAAGCAAACACATTTTTGCAATCATATGAATCAGAATATGTTCAAAATCTTATGCTTGAAAAGAAGAAAACACTTGTGACCTTCAACTCGATATTTAGATATATGGATGACGTATTGTCAATTAACAATAGTAATTTTTATTCCTAAGTTGATGAAATATATCCAGGAGAGTTGGAGATAAAAGATACCACAGAGTCTGACATACATATCTGTTTCATACTTTGATATTTCACTTGAAAAAAGTTACTTGTAACTGAGGGACAGATGATACAAACACATTTTTTGTTTGAAAAAAATTAAATATCATGTCACAACTTTAGAAAAGTGGATGGTTCTTAGAATTTTTTATCCGAAGAACTCTATTATTCAGTGCTAAGAGCATCCTGAGAAATTTTATTGGAAAATCGTTCTAACACTGATCATATAAACTGTCACTTTTAAGAAAAAAACATTCTAGAAATATTTCTGAGAAAAAATTCGAAAGCAGAAATTTTCAGAATAGGAAGAAATTGAGTTATGGAAAAGCAAAAATTTCAATATTGAAATAATGCGTATTGAATTAACGAACAATATTCAGGATCAAAAGTCCATAAGTCAAACAATATTCTTTTAGTTCTGATATGTAAATTGAATAAAAATTAGACGTGATATTTCAAATGGAAAAAAGTTATTTCTTATCACAAGATAGCATTCAACAATAAACCCATTTTATCTGACTTACAAAAGCATACCACAAGCAATACTGGCAAAGGACACGATAGGCTAAGATTCCATGCTGTCCCCTTTTTCGAGTTGTCTTTTAAAATAATACAACAATATATAAATAAAAATTTGTTGTCAATCATGACACAAAAATTAGTATAAGTTTTTTTTTTGTTTTGGGATACAGATGGCACAAAAAAAGCTAAAAAAAACGTGTAAATTTCCGAATTTTCTCACTTTTTTGCAATTTTTGTCAATTTTATGTCTCATTTTGTTTAAGAAACATAAAAAACAAGCTCGCAATTTTGATTGTGTCTTTTTTACATCATATAAGGAGCAATATTCAGCCGTTTTCAAATCTTGTCTTTTAAAGAGGTAGAACACTTTGTAAAAATAAATTAGTTTATAACCAAGAAATTCAATGCAATGTCGAAGAATTTATGTTGACCGAAACCCCTATAAAAGTTTATGTATGGCATGCTTAATACTAGTAAATCAGTTATTTGACTTCTAGGGATAAACAAAATCAATGTAAAAAAAATATAGCTGTTTACATCATGATTCATCCTGAATGAGAGTAGAGGGACATTTTCAAACGTAGTATTACATAATTAATAAATAATACAGTAATAGAGAACAGGATTCTAATTAAGTGAAACTGATAATTAAACTAAATGTTTTAAGAATTGTGTCGGAAATATTCCCAACTCTGTCTCCATTTAATTGCATTTCAAATATTCATGAGAAACCCACTAAAAATTCGTAATTAGCAGGAAAAAGATATATAATATTTAAGCTGCATTCCCTTTGATTTTTAGAAAACTTTATGTTTCTATGAAAGTTTGTTTTCCTCGGGAGTGGATAAATGTCAAACAAAGTCTGAGTGAATTTGGAAAATAATCCACAATTAATAAAATTCGACAAATATTTTAATAACTTTTTTTTTAAGAAAGAGGACATGTTGACTATTTCAAGATACTTTTGTGTGCTGGTGGTGGTGGGGGTGGGTACTTACTTGGTCAGTCGTTTGTATGCCGGGTATATGTAAGAACAGGGTATAGGCAATAAGATTGTTAACAGTATCAATTACATACCAGTCACCTCATATATACATAGATTTTACTATGAATATATGAATATTTTACACAACGCGTTATCTGATTAGTTCTTGGTCATCATGTGAAAACTTCCTATTTCACGGCCGTCGACACGCTATTTGTCATATTCCAATTCTTCGGAACACCTAGGTTATTTTCATGCAGTATAGTTTGTTAAACGAAAACTCCCGTGAGTAGTAGACGTCACAATAGTCTGGTTTACGTCACACAATTGATGATAATGTGTGGACCAAAAAGTAAAGGGTTTTATGATAACTTTACGTAAAAAATGAAAGCGAATTTGAGAGCGGTGCCAAATTTGAAAGTTAATGTTTATTTCCAAGGTTTTGCTTGTTTCGATATAATAAACAATTCACTGCATGAATGTTCGGGATACACGAAGACTTATTCAGCTATGAAATATCATATTCCCCTTGGGCAAATATGATTTTTCTTGGCTGAATAAGTGTTCGCATTTCCTTCACTATCATGCAATAAATGTATAAAATAAAAAAAAATCAAAAATGATTATTTATAAATTTCATGTTTGCCATAGAAATTTTAATGGCATGAAATGTATTCCATTAAGATGTTCTTATTTTCTATGTTTCTTAGGTAATACAGGAACCATTCATAGATTTGTAGAAGAAATCTTTTAAAGCTAATGTAGAGCCTGATTTGTTCAGAACCTTAGCGCAACCCTATATATAATATATCGATAACAAATATCATTAAGTACCTACCATTTTGACTGATCTATTGAACAAACTAAAAGCTTTAAATAATATTACTTTGATTACAGAGTAAATACCTATATGATATAAGGAGAACTGACCTAATGAATTTTTATTTTATTAGTCTTTTTATATAAAAAGGAAAGGAGTTTACATCAGATAGGGTACAAAATGTGTCCTTTTAAAAATTTGAAAATGAGATAGTTTTAGTCATATTTTTTCATTCTTATTTTCTCGATCTTACCTAATGAGAGTTTGGACTTTAAGCTTTGCATTGCTATTTTCCTCTTAGATATATATATAATACATTTCAAAGGCAGGATTTTAAAATTTAGTATATTGTTTCGAATGAACTTTTTGCAAGGAAGATCATTATTTGTTACGTAATGTTCTTGCATGTTATTGACCAAAAGTTGGAATATAGACGTTTTTTTAATAAGCATCGTTTTCACGTTTGTAATATATTATATACATGTAAATATTTAAATTTTATTTTACATTGCAGTTTATGCAATAAATTTACAGCTGTTATGTATTGCTTCCATTATATCTTGATTAGTTTTAAATGAAAATCATAAAAAATAGGCATCATATATGAATCATACTGTAAATCATATGATTCACATACATGTACTCGTACGATACACAATTATGAATCATAAAGTTTTTGCAAGATCCAAATCTCGATCTCTAACAAAACTTCTTTTACAACGTAACATTCAACAAAATGGTGTTCAATATTTTCAATGTCCATCTCATATAAGGAGCATAATGGTGAATCAATTAGTGTTAATTTGTAAGGATTGCATTTTATAGAATTTATTCTATGTGAGACTGAATTCTATCCATTGAAGTTTTGATTATTTGGTAGCTCAAAATTTATTTTCCGGTATTTTTCACTAAATTCTTCCCGATTATCACCCAATTTCATATCTGAAATTATTTTGCCCTTGTTTTACTCTGAATGAGAACATTAAACATTTACACCAATTTTTCTTTTTCTTCTTCTTCATATTAATTCGAATGAAAAAACAAAACTGTAAAAAGTTTCCAATGAAGTCATAATCCATGATAAAACAAAACCAGAAATAAACAACTTTTGATCCACCTGATCCCACCTCTGATGTTTCGGAGGTCCGTGTTTGCTCTGCTCTTATTTTGTATATTGTTTAATGGACGTTGAGATTGAATACTGTTCGTTATTTCCATATCCTTCTTGATGAGAATTGAATGGTCATCGATGGTAGTGTCAGGATTATTTCATACTGTTCTTGAAGAGGAGTTAAATCAGCTATACCTTTATTCTGATTTACTATGTCGTTCAATGTTGAAGCAT